CCTCTCTCCCATGCCCAGAAAGCCCCATGCTCAGTGCCAGCCCACAGGGAAGAGCCTGGATGGGGACACTCACTCTGCACAGCCTCTCATATCACTGCCTTAATTCTTCTCTCCTCCTATGGCCAGGTTCCCCATACCTGTTCCAGTCTGTATGATCCTATGGGGTCCCCTTTCTGTCCCAATCTGGATAATTCTATAGCTGGGTCCCCCTTCTATCCCAGTCTGTACAAGAGGAGCTGTGGTCTCTTCTCCCTGGAGCCCATTCACTGCTCTCAGCCCTTCAGTTCCAGGGTCCGTATGCTCTCTGCTCCCACTGGGCTCTCATAGGCTGTGAGTCCCCAGCCCACCTGCTGTGCTCATGCTGCTGGTAGGAGTGGGGATGGTCTCGCCTTCTGCACCACAATCCATCTGACCTCAGCAGGTACCTTCTGGCTGTTCTCTAGCAGCCCTGCCTGGTCCCACCTGCCCATTAAAAGTCCCTTTAACTTTTAATGTTCCCTCCAATATAGGGAACATTATTGCTCTATTTCTGAACTGTATTTTCTGTTCATTTGTTTGTTTTGTGTCTCTTGGCAAGACTGGAAAATCTAAAGGGGAGGGACTAACTCTTGCTTTCTAATCCCAGCACCTAAGAACTTCTGGTACATTAAATGTTTCCAAAATAAATCAGCTAATTAATGGTATTACTAAGCAATCAATTAAAGGGAATTTATAGCGTCCTGGATAACAAACAAAGGGCTTTTAGGCAGCACTGCTGTAGTCAGTAAAACAAGAAGCCGGCCACCCCTGCAATGCAGAGCAGTAACACTGATCAATGAGAGCTCAGGTAGCATGTCAGAGCTTGGAGTTAGTAGGACTGATTTAAGAAGAGTAGTGTGACTTTATTCCCTATGGCTTCTTATGAAATAATCAGCATGTGAGCCTTGGCAGGTAGTAGTAAATTTAGAGTATTGCTCTCTCTTTGCTGGAGTTAGATTTTTGATAATAGATACATAGAAAACAATGATTTATAAAGTAATCCATTGGAAATTGGTTGCACCTTAAAAGATCAGCAGTCTATAAAGCTTAAATCTCCAATTAAAATATTTCATTAATCCACAGGGGATCAAAAATTGCTGCCTGAACCTCTGGCTGTCACAGAGCTTTGGTGACATCTGACTGTGCACTTCTCTACTTTGCTCATTTAGAGAGATGACTAAGGCTTTCTCCTCATTTAAACATTGAATAGAAGAAAAAATGGCTTCTGGGTTTTCATCCAGTTTTTAATATTGAGAAGCATCTGCCTTAACATAGAAGACAAAACACTTAAGCCAAATGCCACCAGATGCTCATTTTCTGACTGACTCTGGCCAGTGTTCAATGCTGCAGGGTGGGACAACTGCAGAACCGATCAGTCCAGACCAAGATACCCAGAGGGCAAAGACGACTCATCAGTAATCCTACCAGGGACAGGTGGCCCTCGTGTGGCCGTCCTCCTGGTGGGAGTTTTAAAGGTCACAGAGCCAGACCTAACACAGGTGGACCCTTCTGCTGATGCAATGCATGACGTGACCAGCACCAGGACCATTCCCCACTTCTATTTCTTGAATCAGAGAGCAGCAGAGACAGTGGAGGTGATGGGACCTGCATCCATGGAGTGGCACAGCCAGGTCTCCTACAGGAGCTCAGCCCCCACAGCCTAGCCCCAGCTCCTGAAGGAATGTTCTAGCACAGCAACGTCAGCACACATGCCCCCTGTATCAGGAAGGCTGCTCCAAAAGCCATCTAGTATTCATGCTCAGACACATGGAGCTAGAAGCACAACACACATAAGTCGGATGGAAGGACTCCACAGTCCTGCTGTCCATCAGGGTGACAAGGCTACAAGCCCCAGCCTGCCCTGCTGTGATGATTACCAGCAGTGAGAAGGCGTGTCTGCCTCCTGCAGGGGCCTGCCTTCTCATGGCCCCGAGGCCTTCCCTCAAAGCACCTGCGACATCCCCACGGGCTCATAACACAAATTGATGTCCCCCAAACTGAACATGGTTTATAACTCCTGGGCACCCACTGTTGGCTCGTCCTCAGGCTGTGCTGCCCACGGCAAGAGAGCAGCTGGTGGGGCCCCATCTGGTACCCCGGATCCTCATCTAGGAAGCAAACTGGATTAGAAGTTTGACCCTTTTGACAACGAGGGCTATTTTCATAGAATAACAAACAGAATAACAAAAGCTGAAGAAGGAACATGATGACAGCTTCAGAGCCAAACACGGTGGCTCCCTGGTGTGAAGCCAAGTGCTTTGTATGTGGATGCTTGGCCCAGGCCCATCTGAAGCACGGGCTGTGCTCAGGTCCATGCTCCTGAATTCTCCTATTTCTGTCTTGAAGGAGAGGGCACGTCGGATATAAGTAGATGAGCTCATCACCATTGAGTTAGTGGGAAGATGCTAAGTGGCTGCAGGGAAAAATGTCCACTGAGCTCCCTTCATTCTAACTGCTGAGCCTCAAGGACCTTCAGTGGCTCTCCCCTTCCTCAGCATAGCTGAGACCTCTGCGTGAGGTCACTCTGCTGGTCATTCACTTGCAATGCCAGGGGAATGATGTGGCATCTCCTTACAGGGGCCAGAGGGCCCATGGCTGTAGCAAAGGATGAGCCCAAAGCCTCACAGCCCTTTTCAGAGACACAAAAGTGACAGAGAAGGGGACAGGAACTGACCTCACATGGCACACACTGGAATTACCCATGCACAGACGGCTACGAGAAGCTGCTTTGCTGCTGTGCTGCATGTAGCCAATGGAGCCCGCATGTAGCCATTTGCTGCATGTAGCCAATGGAGCCAGTACCACTTAGCATTAGGCAGCCACTCGTGGGGTCCCTCAGCCTTGGGGTGAGACTGAGTATGTGTTACGAGTGTAAACACTTCCTGCAAGTCTCCTTGGGAGAGTTGGGCCCACTGAGAGTCCAGGACTGGCTTTCACACTCCTGACATAATTTTCATGTCATTTCTAATGATTATTCTATCAGTAAAAATCAGTATAGCGATTCTTAATTGAGCATGTCACAATGAGCCTGGCACATGTTTCCTTGTTTAATCCTCATGATGACATTGTGACCCCAATTTCCTGGTTGAGGACCTGGGGGAACAGAGGCGTTAAGCAATGTCCCTGGGCTGGGGGAGGGGGCTGCATTCAGAGCCAGGCCTGGATCCTAGAGGCCACCTGACCCTTCCTGACTCTCCAAGGAAAAAGTCCCATGAAACCAATCTTCCCACAACATCTAGCAAGGTGTCCCACCAGAGGTGCTCAGTCACCAACAGTTAATGAATAAAAACCTTAATGCTTTTAAAAACAGTGAGAAGTGTGCAAGGCTCATGGTGAGTGTCTCCGACGCAGGCTGCAGAAGGTACCACTCAGTGCAACCGATATCAGAGTGGAGGTGGCTACATGTGGTGCTGGGTCATCACTGAGCTCTCCCACCCTCTTCCGCAGGGCTTCAGAGCCCGGCCCCTCTATGAGGACTAAAGATCCCCACTCTCCATCGGGTCCCCTGATTTGATCCAGGGACCTGGCTACCTGCTTCCCTGCTCGGGAGAAACTCAGATGTGGCCAAGTCACTGCTGCAGGGGCCCCAGAGCAGCTGCTCAGTGTGATGACGCAGTCTAGACCCCCCCACCTCCTGCACACAGGCTGAGCCAGTGCCAAGACCCGCTCTGCAGCCGCAGGCTGTCACTACCATAAAGCCCGCTGCTCAAACATGAGGCTGATGCCAAGATGGGAGAAGGGGCTTCCCAGAGGGGCTCTCGAGGACAGCTGGATAACAGACCCACCATCCTCAGGCACTGGGTCCCAAGACACAGATGGGAACACACTCCGTCATCACCCAGGTAGGGGTGTAGCTGCTTCCTGAAAACACAGCCTCAGGTTCCAACACCTGGATGCCAGGAGCGATGTTCCATGAGGACCCAACTCACTCTGGGAAACCTCCAGGTGTGTCCTTGGAAGGAACTGACCTTCCTGGGCATATGGGCACTACCCAATTTACCAGCCTAGGGTTACCTTAAATAATTTCAATGGCTGATTACAGGAAACTAATCAAAATTTGGCTCAAATTGCTCCTACACATTTCTAGGGGCCATACCCTCTTCTGTTGAGAGCACAGTTTAAGAGTATGTGCAAAGGCCCCAGACGTGTTCGCCCCTCACCAACCCAACTGCAGTCCCAGAAAAATATATCATGCTTAAGTTCACATGAGAGACATGTGGCAGAACCAACCCAGACTTCAGGACTTTGCCTGAAGCTCCATCCTCCTGCTGCCGCGGGCCCTGGGATGCTTCTTCCAGCTGCTCCCCTTCTTTTTCCCAGACAGCTCCAGTTTAACAAGCTGTAAAAACTGTGTACCCCTTTCCATCTACAAAGTTCACTGAGATTTGTTTTATTAAAACATTCTTCTGAACGGCTTTAACCCCCTGAAGTGGCATATAATTAATTAGCCTCAGCCTGAGTGTCCTGCAGCTGAGACTGGCCAGATGGACATCATCCTGTCCACCCCATGCCTGCCATGGCAGCATCTGCGAGCTGGCCAGGGACACTTGCCTGGGGTGGGTCACCAAGAATGTGCTTTCCTGGGACACAGTGGCCACAGGAAAATAGGACAGCAGGGAACCCAGTGCCCACCTCATTCCAGCCAACTTCAGGCCCATTCTCCCTCACTTGGGCTCTAAGTGCCCATTGCTACTTTGGGTCTACTTCCTAAAGGGAGGGGTCAGCTCCCTTCTCCTGCCTGGGAGCTTCTTAGGGTTGCAACACCTTGAACCAACAAGGAACTCAGACTCCCCAGAGAGCCAGCCAGGAGGCTCCAGGGCAAATGGCCCTCACACAACACCTGGAAACATCCCCTCCATGAGGCCCGTCCCCACACTGCCTACTAGCCATGGACACAGGCGAAGAGCCCAGGCCAAGGTGTGTCCATAGCACCAGGAGGGCAGGAAGCAAACCCAGGTCACAAAGAGAGTTGCAAGCATCACCTCGTTGGGGGGGTTGCCATGCTCTGTCCTGAGGTGCGTGTTGGTGGCTGAGTCCCGGGACTGAGCCCCCAGGTATGGCAGGTAGCGCTGCAGGGCCCTGGCTAGGGCTGTGTCATCTCCCAGGCTACGCCTCCCTACCGAGCTGCCACTCAGCTTCCAGGCTCTGAAACACAAAAGGAAACCACAAGTCAGTAGAGGGTGAGCCTTGCAGACGGGTTGCCTCATACTGGTGACACCCAAGTCAGTAGAGGGTGAGCCCCATAGACGGGCTGCCTCATCCCGGGAACATGCATTAGGGACCCGCCTTGACTGCAGTGTGAATTCTCCACACCTGGCCTCAGGGCTCAGACAGGATGCAGGGGCTGAGGGTGTCTGCCTCACTGCTGTGGGACCCAGTGGGATGGACAACAGCTAACCTCAGGGACCAACCAGAGCATAGTAGCCCATGAACCACACCATCCTCACCATGAGCTCAGCAGGGGCAGAGCCAGAGGCAGCATCTCCTAGGGCTGGGGAGGTGGGACTCAGACCCTCCCCTAGTAAATCTGCACTGTTTACACCACTGCAGATGTTTACATAGTGTTTGTCACAGCAGCCGATGTTGACGCAGCGCTTGTGCCGTGTATGCACCAGATGTGTCAGGCAGAGAAGGCTGATGCCAGGACAGACTCAGGATATTGTGTGTCTGTGGTCACACACAGCCAGACATGGCTAACCAGCCACCCAGGGGAACAAGAAGAAAAGTGTGAACCTGGGGCAAAGATCCGAGGGTTGGGCAGGGCAGGTGTGACACTACGAATGACACGCAGTCACTGAGTGATCAACTCATATCCCAGCAGACATTCCCCACGGGCTGAGTGTAGCCTAGAGGAGGTGGCCAGGGAATAGGAGAGCCACATGGGCCTGGGGAATCAGACATCAGCATTGCCCCAGCCTGGGCAGCATCCTGGGTGGAGGTAAGGGGTCTGGCTTACTGCAAAGTTAGCACCTAACCCCAAGCAGACCAAGTGCCCAGAGAGAAGTGTGGCCTGAATGAGAAAAACAGGGTCTTCCCAGCCAACACTGGCCTTTGCATCCAAGCAGGTGCCTAGACAGGTGGAAGATGGGCACCTCCAGCAACAGGAAGACTCACCTGTTGACCAGGATTAAAACTATACACTTCTCACAAAGATGTGGTGGGGAGAGAGTTCATATGACTGGAAGTGCCAGCTGAAGAGCTTTGATTCTGAGATTTTCAGCTGTTCCTGCCTGGGAAGTGCCTTGCTTACGTCCACAGAAGCTGGGGTCTCAGCTACAGAGATGTGAGTCTGAGCCAGGCTGGGTCCTGCTGCCTACATCCTCAAGAGCATCCTCCCTGCACCTGCTCCCTTCTAAAATATCCCCAAACCCACATTACTGTCTAGTTTCTGCTGCAGTTGACGGTCTGGACACCCGCCCTCTGCCTCCTGAGCTAGGAAAGGTGGTGTCTGGGACGAGATCTGGCCGCTGGGCCTTCTCAAGGCTACTGTAGCCCCAGCCATGACAGGAGGAAAGCAGGGCTGGGGTGAGGCAGGGCTGGGGTGAGGCAGGACAGATGCTGTCTGGGGGCAACGCTGGGATTCCGTTAATGTCGATGTTCACTGGAGGTGTCTATGGCTCTATTTTACTTCTTTGTTGGCTCATTGGCTATAATTCTTCGTTTTGTAATTTCAGTGATGGCTTCAAAGTGTGTTCATGTCTAACTTACCACAGCTTGCCTTCCCACGACCTCACACCACTGACACACAAGGCCTCTGTCTATCCCTCCACCTCGGCACGGCTCTGCACACACTCTACCTACGCTGTGCTCTGAACCCCACAACACACCATTATTACTTTGTTTAACAAGGGATTTTAATGTGATTTAAATAACAAGGAAAATGGTGTCTATGGGCAATGCCTGTGGCTCAAAGGAGTGGGGCACCAGCCACGTATGCTGGAGGTGGTGGGTTCAAACCCAGCCCCAGCCAAAAACTGCAAAAAAAAAAAAAAAAAGGAAAGGAAATGGTGTCTATGGGTGCAGTGGCCACTCCCACGGTTCTTGTCCAGCATCCCACCCATTCTGCCGGGCCCTCGGCCCACATAGCCTGGCTGCAGGGGCATCTGCAGTGCCTGCACTTCTGAGAAGTGACAATCTCACCTGTGTGCTAACAGGGTATTTCCATGGGATGTGGAATTCTGGGGGGACTTATTCTACCTCTGGCATAGGGAACTGTCAGAACTAACCCTGCAGCCACTGTTCCGCCTCCCGCCTATGTGGTGCACACTTCTCTCCAGCTGCTCTTACCACCGTGTCCTCATCTCTGCTTTGAACAGATGAATTAAGATTTTGTCTTCACGTTTCTTTTCCTTACGGCTCAGTGAGCTGCTTGGACTTGTGAGTTTATCATTTTTATTATATTGAAACAATTTTGGTCACTATTTCTTCTAATATTTTGCCTATTTTTCTAATATTCCACTCCTTGGAACTCCAATTACACATACATTTGGCCTCTTGAAATTGTCCCATAGTTCACAAATAATTTTTTAATGATCTTTCTCTGTTTCCTATGGATAGTTCACTAATGTTTCCCACTATGGAGCCTGATTTGCTGTTCCTTACACCCACACCTTTTCCATAACTCCCAGTATGCGGTCGGGGTCACCCTGCATCTACCCGATGGTCTCATCTGGTGTGTGCTGTCTGTCATCCTGTGTCTACCCGATGGTCTCATCTGGGGTGTGTTATCTGTGTCATCCTGTGTCTACCCAATGGTCTCATCTGGGGTGAGTTATCTGGGTCACCCTGCATCTACCCAGTGGTCTCATCTGGAGTGTGCTGTCTCTGTCACCCTGTGTCTACCCGATGGTCTCATCTAGGGTGTGCTGTCTGGGTCACCCTGCATCTACCCGATGGTCTCATCTGGAGTGTGCTGTCT